TAAGTATACATTTCCTTTTATTTGCATTCCATCTTATAACACAAATCATCACTTGATTTCATCACATACCATTATAAGTGCTTAATTGGTTCCATGTTTGAACATTCATGACATAAATACATGACTCTTCAAAGTCCTAAACATGGAATAAGCTTGTTAGTACTAACACCCATAAGATCATCATAATACAACACATATCATATTAAATTTGAGGATGTTACATGAACGATAAAATGATATATTTATATGGAATAATAACATAAAAGCATGAATGCATAATGTACTTGTTATGTATTAATCTTGAAGTTTAGAAAATTTCAAGGCTTAATTTTTCATAGACTACAACGTATACAAGACTGTAAGTACAATTATTTTTAATGATTTGTAATGTTATGTTAGTAACCGGTTTTCTTAACAACTATAGGAAAAAGAAGTTCATGTGAATTATAAACCTGAAATGTAGTTTACATGCATTTTGTCAAGTTGTACTTAGAATCTTGTATACGTTGTAGCTTGTACGAGCTCTTTGCATAGATTAGGATTATCAACACTGGATGTCTTTATGTTGGTTGAATTATTTATTGTTCTGTATATATTTTATAAATTATATAAATGTAATCTTTTAAATAAAATTTCCTTGAAGAACTTTGTTTTTTTTTTTTTAACTTAACCAGAATAGTATTTATTTATGGGCCTTTATTTATTCCCAACCCTATTGCGACATTCCAATGTTGTTTTTCCCAAAAAGCCGTTGTTCTTGTGTAATCTAATCAAAGACAATACCCGCTGTGCTGTGCTGTTTTCTAAATAAAGTACTACTACTCTGAGTTCTGTCCATCAGATTCTACCCACGGTGACTTTTTGTTGCTTTCTTATTGGTCATATCAAATAACCAAAAACCAAAAATCATCTCGACTAGCATTAATATGTATTTTTTAGATAAATATATGTGGATTGTTATAATAGATATAAATAAGATGTATTTTGATAAGTTCAAGCTACATATTCTTCTTATCGAGATTTTTATATTAAATATATATACAATGTTTAGTCTAAAATATACTTCTAAATGTTTTTCTTCTTCTTCTTTTATTTATTATTTTTTTTTGTGTGTGTGAAAATTTACTTTTGATGTTTATATAAAAAAGTAGAGGTGGCAAAAATTGACACGACCCGAAACTCGACCCGAAATCGACACGAAATAAATGGGTTTGGGTTAGAGATTTCGACACGTTTAATTAAATGGGTTGACACGACACGACACGAATATTAAATGGGTAAGGTTAGGGTTAAGATTTTCAACTCGAAAACGACACGAAAATAACCCGTTATATATATATATATATATATATATATATATATATATATATATATATATATATAGATTGTATTGGGCTAATGAAACATATCAGACTGTAATTGTGTTCAAAGGGTATTGGGCTAATAAAGAGATTTTTTGACCTAATTAGGTGATGACCTAATTTCTTTCCTAGTTTCCTTCCAGCCGCACACCAGTGACCACAGAACACACTCCACACTCCACAAAACCACGAAAACGCTCTCGATTCTCGTCTTTCTTTGCCTCTTACGTCGTTCGTTCAATCGATCCTTGTGAGTCGCAACAACTATCGGTTTACTTCCTCCCACATATCAATCGTTCCTTGTTTACATCATTCTTGGGTTTTATTCTTATGTGTTCTGTTTTTTTTTGTTGCAGTTAAGTTAATCATGGATGAACCAATCAACTTGTCTGGTGATGAAATCGATGTTTCTGATGACGAAATAGGAGATGAGATGGAAGAGGAGGTTGGTAGTGCACCACCAATTTCTAATCAGAATATGCATAAACCGAATTTGTCTGGTAACCCACCTGTCAAACGAAAACGTAAGCTTACTTCTCGTGTTTGGAAATCCTTTGAAATACTTAAAGAGTCAGATAGTAAGGGAAATATGTTGTGCAAATGCAAGAAATGTGGGACTACGTATATAGCTGAAAGTAGTCACGGGACAAGGAATCTACTTAGGCATAAAAGGGCTTGTGATTTGAAACACAAAAGTTATAAAGATGTTGGACAGCTTCTTATACAATCTAATTTGAAAGGGTCTTTGGGTACTAGATCTCCTACTTTTAAAGCTGATGAATTTCGTGAGTTGGTTGTTGTTGCTATTGCTAGACATAATCTTCCTTTTCAATTTGTAGAATATGAAGGTATTAGGAAATGTTTTGCTTACTTATATCCAGAAGTTAAAACATTTTGCAGAAATACCATAAAAAAAGAAATATTCAACATGTATTCAATTGAGAAATCAAAGCTCTATGATTTGTTGCAACTTGTTCCGGGTAGAATAGCATTAACATCAGATTGTTGAACTTCTGTAACAACTGATGGGTATATTTCATTGACTGCTCACTTTGTTGATCAAAATTGGTGCTTGCAAAAACGAATTTTAGCTTTTACTTCTATGCCCCCTCCCCATAATGGTGCTTCCTTAGCAGAAAGAGTTTGTGGTTTGTTAAAACAGTGGGGAATTGATAAGAAAATAGTTTCCATAACCTTAGATAATGCCTCTGCAAATGATTATATGGCTAATGCACTGAAGTTTGATTTGAATTTGATGTCTGATGGTGATTATTTTCATGTTCGTTGTTGTGCTCACATCCTTAATTTGATTGTACAAGATGGCTTAAAAGAATTAGATGGAGCTATCGTTAAGATGAGAGATACTATTAAGTATTGCAAAGGTTCTCAAGCTCGGAAAAAATCATTTTTGCGTTCTGTTCAATATGTTGGCCTTGAGTCCACAAGAGGGCTAAGGCAAGATGTTCCAACTCGTTGGTATTCTACGTATCATATGTTAGATAGTGCATTATATCACAAAAAAGCAATTCTTCATTTGGCAAAGACTGATGCAAACTACGTTCATTGCCCAAGCTTCGAAGAGTGGAGCAGGATTGAAAAAATTTGCAACTTTTTGCAAGTTTTCCATGAGGTGACTTTAGCTTTTTCAGGTTCTAAATATCCAACTTCCAATCTTTATTTTCCTAATGTTTTAAAGATAAGATTGCTTTTGCAAGAAGAGAAGGAAAATGGTGATACTTTTGTAAAGAACGTGGCTAAAAATATGCATTTGAAGTTTGACAAGTATTGGTGTGAGTTTAGCACTATTATGGGCATTGCCATTGTTTTTGATCCCCGTTACAAGTTTCATTTTATTGAATGGGCTTTCAAAAAGATATATGGTTCATCTTTTGATGTTGAGTTGGATTTGTTTAAGAAAAAATTATTTTCCTTGTTTGATGAGTATACGGATGTTAGTGCTACAACCAAGACTCATGAAAGCTCATCTCATTCTGGTGTTGCCAATGATAAGTCAGACACATATATGACGATATTAATTTGCTCCTATCTTATTTTATGATTTTTTTTTTGTATTTTCCTAACTTCTACATTTTTTGTTAGGATTTTGATGATTTCTTTAGCTGTGAATTTACTACTGGTGGTAAATCTGAATTGCAATCTTACCTAGAGGAGCCAAAATTACCTCGCACGGGTGATTTGAATGTTTTGGAGTATTGGAAACATCTTCAAGGACGGTATCCCATTGTTTCTCAAACGGCTAGAGATATTTTGGCCATCCCAATATCTATTGTTGCTTCCGAATCTGTTTTCAGTATTGGAGGAAGAGTTCTTGATGCCTATCGTAGTTCATTGAAGGCAAATGCTGCTGATGCATTGGTTTGTCTTAGAGATTGGGTTTTTAGTGAAGGTAAAATCCGCATTTATAAAATTTTGTATTCACAAAAAAAAAATTGCATTTAAACAAATATTAAGAGTAAAATCTGCATTTTTTAAAGAGTTAAAATTTTGCATTTACAAAAAAACTGCATTTTAAATTATGCATTTATAAAAACTGCATTTACAAAAAAAAAAAACTGCATTTAATATGAAAGTAATGCTAATATCATTTTTTGTATTTTGTAGGTTCAATGCATCCAGATATTGAGGCGTTATGCAAACAGACTTTAACAATGAAGATTGGCGATGTGAATGAAGATGAAAGTGATGTACCAAGTACTCCTAGCATTCAAACTCAACAATCCCGTTTAGGTTAAAGATTTGAAGTTAAATTCTCGTATTACTTGTATTTTTTTTAATGTTGTGGATGTTTGATGTTTTGGAAACTTGCTATTATTTTGGGTTGTAAACTTCTCTTAATACTTTGAATGTTTAATGTATAACTTTTGAACTTTAAGTTTTGATCTACTGATTTGGTTGTTTACTTTCCTGATGTAAAATTTAGAAAAATTTATTCTTTAAACGGGTAAAATAGGTTAAACGGGTTACATGGGTTAAACATGTTTTGCGGGTTAAACAGGTCGTGTCGGGTTAGAGTGTTTTATATGTGTCGAGTTCAGGTCAACAATTTTTGACCCGTTTAATAAACAAGTCGTGTCCGTGTCACGTATTTCTAACCTGTTTAAGTTTCGACACGACACGAACCCGACACGACACGACCCGTTTGCCACCTCTATAAAAAAGTTCAAAACAAAATTAATTTTGGTTAAATCTCTTAAACCACACCGACCCACATTATGCGATTTGCCTTCTTTTGGTATGTTTTGGTTGGGTTGATGGTTCGACAACCTCCCATTTTCAACTTTTACTAACTAACCCACCTCCTTTCCATCTTCAAATTCCTTCACGCGCCACCATTAACATCCTTAATCTGCCCCTACCTAGCTAACAGCTTGCACTCTCTCTCTCTCTAGAAAAAAATTCTATAAGAAAGCAGACAACCGCCGGTGTTGATGCTAGATTACTACTCTTTTTTCCACTTATAAATTTCTCCGACCGAGTAAGATCTAAACTATCAATTCTTCTCATCCTCTATATTCGTGTTGATATGTGATTGATCAAATTATAGTTTAATGTGTACATGTGTGCAGGTTTTAATTTGGCAGTGTGTGTAATTAGTTAAGATTTGAAACAATTGACGTGATGTTAGACCTTAACCTAAGTATTTACCAGACCGATTTGATGTTGTCGGAATATATGGAGGAAGATAGCGGCAGGAATAAGCAGATCCTTGAGCTATCTGTTGGCACTTCAAATTCTTCCGTCGTGAGTAACGCCGGCGACGAGGAGCACTCACACTCACACTCACACTCGCACTCCTGCTCGAATCTCACGTATGGTTTTGAGATACTGAAACAGAATAATCTAGAAGAATTTCAGGAGCATAGGTCAGATCATATGGTGGTTACAAAGCAGCTCTTTCCGGCGATGGGCGGTGGTGGCGGTGGCGTTGGCTTCATTCAGCAGCATTGGTTGGATAATGGCGATGACGATAGATTATTCATGTTGAGGCAACAACAACAACAGCAGCAGCATCAGCAGCATATACAACAGGTGAAGAAAAGTAGGAGAGGACCGAGGTCTCGAAGTTCTCAGTATCGTGGTGTTACGTTTTATCGAAGAACAGGAAGATGGGAATCACATATTTGGTTAGTTAATACATCGATCTTTTTTGATTTTGTGTAACTATACCCAACATCCATTACTTTAAAATAATAATTTTTCTAGTCACAAAGAAAATAGATAAGATGGTTTTTACGATTTATTAGAGAAAGATACATAGTTGAAAAAAAAAACAATATATCTTCGTTATTTTACCATTTCTTTCAATGTTTTATCATTTTATGTGAAACATTACATAAAATGCTATACATGTTAAATAGAACGGTAAGTTTTTAATTTGATTAAAAAAATGAATAGGTTAAATAATAAAAAAGTATAGTATGTTCAGTTAAATTGTAAAAAGACTATAAGCTGTACAAGAGTGAAAACATGGTGTATTTCTTTAATATTAACCTCTAAAAATAGAGTATTGTACGTAAAAAAATATTTTTTATTATCATATTAATTACCACATTAAATATGTATAATAAAAAATTGATACTTCATTGTTACATTTTCTTATGTTTGAATTTCTATGATTTCTGCAGGGATTCTGGGAAACAAGTTTATCTCGGTAATTAAGCAATTATAAGTAGCATTGAAATCCCATTTTATTTCAATATGTATATGAATCTGTTTAATTATACTTATTTAAATTCTATATATATTTTTAATTATTTTTATAGGTGGATTTGATACTGCACACGCTGCTGCTAGGTAAATATCTTTCTACACTTTTTCAGTTTTCTGACATTAGTTTCATCATTTAATCATGTCAAATTTTATAAACCTGATCTTTTTCTACAGGGCATATGATCGGGCTGCTATAAAATTTCGTGGTGTTGATGCTGATATTAATTTCAATATAAGCGATTATGAGGACGACTTGAATCAGGTTAATTTAACTAAATTTGATGTATAATTTAAAATTTGTTTCTAATAATCAGTTGAAAATCCCAATGAATATGCTGTTAATTTATGTACATCTTATGTTACACAGATAAAAAACTTGACCAAGGAAGAGTTTGTGCATATACTTCGTCGTCAAAGCACTGGATTCTCAAGAGGAAGCTCAAAGTATAGAGGTGTTACCCTACACAAATGTGGTCGCTGGGAAGCTCGAATGGGCCAATTTCTTGGGAAAAAGTGAGTTTTGTCATTTAGCGGGTTGGATCTGTGAAATTAATGATTATTTGATAGAATTAATTTTTTTTTTTTTAAATTTTGAAAAAAGCTAAACAATATTAGGTAGATTTGTTATTTTTTCGAAAAAGTATAAAAAAAATATAACTCTTATCTTATATTAACTAAAAATATTGTAGAGGGGTGACGTTATTTGTTGTCACACGTTTTTTGTTTGCAGATATATCTATCTTGGATTGTTCGATAGTGAAATCGAAGCTGCAAGGTTCCTAGTTCCCTTAATTAACTTGATTGTCTCCCAATCATGGTTCTTAAGTTGTTTTGATGATCATTTACTTATTAACATGTGTGATTTTTTTGAATTGATTAGGGCTTATGACAAGGCTGCAATAAAATGCAACGGGAGAGAAGCAATCACCAACTTTGAGCCCAGCTCGTATGAAGGCGAGCTTAGTCTTGAGACAGACAATGGAGGTAAACTATTTCCTAAAAAAATTATCAACAGTCTTTTAAAAAAATTTCGTTAAATATGATTTAAACATACGTGTGTGTTGTTAAATAAATCCTTAAATAGTGATTTTATGTCACATCATGTGAGCGTGTGGATGAAATTTTTTTAAGTTAACTTTTTACTTATTTCATAAACAGATAAAACTGATTACATGGATTTGAACCTGGGTATCGCTCCTCCGTCTTTAACAGAAGGTGCTAAAGTCGACGACGACACCTTCCGCAGCTTGCACGAGATCAACTATATTTTAAGTGACATGTCTTCACAGGCCGCAAGAACTACGGTAATATTTTCAACTTTTTTATCATATAATTTAATAAAAAAAAATTAACATTAATAGCCTCAACTCCTTATAATATCTAGACATGAGGAACAATCTCTTAAGCTTTCTTCTTTGTCCACTTTCAGATCGACCACCACCCTTCAAGTTTTGGCCCAGTTTATCAGGTATATGGTAACTCTTATGTCAATTTTATTAGATTACTTTATCTTTTAAATTATTTTGCCAGCTACAGATCATATATAATCTAACGTATCATTTTATAAATGAAATTGTTGGAAACTAGGGAACAACAATTGACAAGAGTATGGCCGATAATCATCCTCTAAGTCACGGAATGGGAGAAAGATTGACAGGTGTACTTCCACTTTTCTATTGTATATATTTCTAGTCAATAAATTGATTAGAGATTATATCTTATATAATTCTCAACCAATCAAAGATATAAAATTTATAATCATGTAGTTAATTGTGCCATCACAGATTTCTTGGCTCCGTTGCTGCGTGATCCTCCGTATTGGGCGGCAGCAAGGCAAGTGAAGGCTCATTGCGGCGGAGCTACACCACCAGCTTCATTCCTGCCGGCTGCAGCATCATCAGGATTCGGTAATTCACCATCACCGGCTGCTCCTGCTCCTGCTCCTACACCACCCATTCCTCACTGTCCCTACAATGTCAACAACATTCCATTGTACTACTGTAGAAGTTGAAGGTACAAGCAGATGAAGCACATCATTTTTTTTATATAGTTGAAGGAGAAATTAACAGGTTGTTGGTTTACCCATAACAAGAAAAAAAAATGTTACCTTGACGAAGTATTAGTAGTATTATCAAAATAATTTTTGTAAGATGTTATTTGAGTATGTTAATTTACTTAATATATATGCATGGATTTAATTGGTAATATGAATAGATATGCAAATTAGATAAGGGATCGAATTAATTTTGCATGGGGTTTGGTTCACGTGTACATTCATAGTAAAAGATTGAATTGAAACAATGTCGTTGATAACACTATTCAAACATTCATGAATAAATCATAAAATAGAATATTTGAACTGTTTTGAAGTTGGTTATGCTAAACAGCAAGAGGAAAAGGTTGCATAATTGCAATGAAACGTGTTTTCCATAGTAATAAAAGAAATAATTCAGAATACAATATTTTGAATGAGTAAGATCATGATAAATACTAAGGTTCACATTATAAAATTATACCTTCACATTGGTTCTTGATGTATGTAAAGTGAAGTTCGTCCTCTTTAATGTGAATTTCTTTTACTCTATATTGTCATGCCCATGGTTGAGAAGTTGATATTAGATTTTTTGGAACGCCAGTTCCAGGTAAATACTTCTTTTGTGTTTATGGCAATTTAAAGACTTCAAATGTGGATTTTGTGGCAACCACGATGTGGTGGAGGAAGCACCACGACGTGGTGCTAGCTAAGATGGAATGCACATTTTGTGTGCACCACGACATGACAAGGTTCATGTCACGACGTGACGGCGGTCAGCATGCAAACCCTAATTTTCTGAGTTTTATGCCCTATTTAAGGGATGTGATGGCTAGACTTTGCTCACCCTCAGCCTCTATCACCTCTCTTTCGACCTAAAGCAACCCTAGCCTCCATTGTTGACATCTTAAAGCTTTTTTGTGGTTTTTGGTGCTATTGAAGAAGAAGAAGGTGTTCTTGGTGCATAGATCCAACAAGAAAAACATCCTCACCGCCTTCTTGCATACATTATGGACTTCTGTAAGTCCTCAAGTTTCTACATTTATGTGCTCCTGTTCTAGATTTAGACTTTTATGCACTTTTCTTCATGTTTAAGATGATTTGAGTGGACGGATTTCATAAAGTTTTCAACTTTATGGATCCTTAAGGTCCCTTTGTGGTTTCATGTTCCAGATGTGGTGTTTGGTAGAGTTTTAGTCCCCATGAATGAGGTTTTGACCTCATTTTTCACCATTCTTGACCTAACTAGAGTTCAAGACAAGCATTGGACATGCACGTCCATAAAAACAAGGTTTCTTTTAAATGATTTTTGGGTTTAAGGAAGCTTTCTGGAAAAGATGAGTAAGTGGCTTAATAGATTAAGGGTTTAATCCATTGAGTTGTCCAGGAACAGTTCCCACGATGTGGCGAAATGCTCAACATGTCGTCGTGAATGGGGTTTGACACGACTGTTTTGTCATTAGAGTGTCATGACGTGGAAGATGCTTGGCCACGACGTGGTGGCCAGTTGAGTTGATTTTTGGTTGTTGACTTTGACTGTTGTTCGTTGACTTTTTGATCAAGTTGACTTTTGGTCAACTGGAGGGTTTTTAGGCTATAGATTTAGGATGTACCTTTGATTGTTGTATAGGTGGCTCGTAGCACCATTCTTTGTTTCGTGTGAGTTGTATTGATTGTATGCTAGCTTGTGAGGTGAGTTTTCTCACTATACTTTGTATTTTATTATGTATCCTTGTGTTTATGATGTTGTTATGTTGTAGTGATTTGCTAGGTTGGTAGATCTGTTATGATTACTTGTATCTGCAGGTTAATGTCTGTTTGTTTGCATATGTCGACATATTGTGGTTGGGTTTAGACGATCCTGCTCTGTGTTGTAGGCCAAGATACTCGGGCGATCCAATTGATACTCTAGCCCCATACTATAGGCTCAAGAGAGCGATGCACCTATATGTTGGCTCAAGTGAGAGGTCTAGGTGTACTATATGCCTTGCGAGACGCTCCAGTCAGATTAAAGCCTCATGTGTGCATCCATTGTATGTCTATTGTTGTGTGGGGTATTTTCGGGAACTCACTAAGTTTTGGCTTACAATTGTGGTTTTAAATGTTTCAGGCACTTCATAAGCTCGGGGGAATGCGAAGGCTTGACTGTAGATATCATCCCATGGATTTATGTTTGAGAGATATTATTTGATACTATGATTTTATGACTATGTTTTGAAACAATGAATTGGATGACTAATGGTTTTTATGAGGATGTTTTTGGAAAAAATGAAAAATTTTACTATGGTATTTGGGATGTTAAAAGTTGGCATCAAAACCCTAGTTTGAGGGATCTGGATGAACATTCGTGTGATTCCAGACTCAAACTATGGATCCGCAAAAGATTTTTCACAACATTTTTCTAAAAAAATAATAATAAAATTTAAAAGGAAGGATGTGACGTGTATAGTCAGTCGGAGATCAAGAGAAAGTTATTCCCCAAGATACCCACACTTGTTATATAAATATTAGTGATTTGTTAAAGTGTTAGAACTGTATGCTAGGCTAGGGTTCTTCATGAATTGCATGATAGAATTGCTTGATTTGTGATGCCTGATAGCCTAGCAGTTTTCTTGTTTATGCTATATGACACTCACATTATTACTATAATTGCTAAGTGTATAGATCATGTTTGTACATAACTAATATTATATAGCCATAGAATGTTTGATTTAGCCTTACTTCATGTTCCTTTTTTGGACGTGGGCTTAAGGTAAAATCATTTATTCGATTGTCTATCGAATATGCCATTATGTATGATCGACATACGTAAGGCGACCGCAGTGTTAGTGAAGGTTTCATGAGTTGGGCACGTAACTGATAAAACTCTAGAAGAAGTGAGGATCCCGTGGTTACTCTTGATAGAGTGAGTGTAGGGTGTATGCATACTCTAGTTGTTTTAGGCCTAGTGGTCCAGAAAAGTTCATGATGATCCTTTGAGACAAATATGGGCAGGTGTGGAAGATAATATGATCCTGTACTACTAGAAGTACAAGACCCGTATGCGTGTTAAGGAAGTCACGGGTTCCAGGGGTGAATAGTTGAGTAGTGGTGTGTCATGGTATCATGTGATTTTCTGATGTGTTCCCGGTTTATTTTCAGTATGGTGGTTACAAGAGGTTCCAGTTTAGGTGTTGATGGTTTGGAGAGGCCACAATTGAGTGATTACGAGATCCGAGAGTTCATCACTACTCATGCTAGGGTTTCGTTCTTAGGGTGAGGGAGGACGGAGGCTGAAGAATGGAAGAGGTTTGGGTCCATAATGATGCTTATAAAGGGACCAAACCCTAAAATCGAGCTTTTGAATCTGCCCAACGAACGCCCTGCGTTCCCAATCTGTCCCGCGTCCATTTTCCTTTTGAACGCCATGCGTTCCCACTATGTACGCCATGCGTACCCGGTTGGCCTAAAACCCCTCTAACTTTAAATTGTCATAACTTTTGCGTCCTTTATCCGTTTTCGGCGTTCTTTATATCCACGGAAAGGCAACGAGAAGCCCTGCACTTCTATCAACTTTATATAGCTTGAAAATCAACCGAACTTAAATCCAAAATTCATAAAAGGTCCGAACCAACGCCTTTACCGATACCCTTGGGACTCCAAAACACAAACCGAATACTCGGATCATCCAAACTACATCATCCACCTCCAAATGAGCCCAAACTCGATTCTTCAAGGGTTCTAAGTCAGCTAATACCCATTCCTTGCTCACCACCCTGCAATGGCAACGATTCGAAACAGGGTGTTACAAAATGGCCACGTGTCTCAGACTGAAGTCATATCATGAGACCATATCTCTCACGCCATGACCTTTAAATTTCGGGTTTTTCTTTCTTATTTATCTCAAAACATTGAAAGATTAATTACCTGCATTAGATGTTACAATAGGGTCGAAATTGTCATGGACAAAAATTGATGAGACATATGAAGGATTTTGTAATGGTGGATTGTTTAGTATGGGGAAAGGCTTTCACAAGATGGTAAAAAAATTGGTGTTCAATTATGATATGGAGGAATGGAATTGACTGGATTTAGAGGATTATGTCCCAAATTCATTGCGGTGTGAAATCATAAATTCTAAAATTAAACATTGTTTGTCCATACAACACTTTAGTATCATGGAATTGGGGAGGGAATGGAATGATTGATTCCATCTGAATTAAAGAAGTTTTTTTTTTGCATCATGGAATAGGAAATATGTGGCTTCACATGCGCTAAATTCTTGTAGGGATTATTTGTTTTCATTTTCTTTTGTAATACACATGTTAAAACATACACATAACACAATAGTTTTCATATATATTTTAATAAGCCAGTTAATTAATAGATCTTGGAAACTCAAGTTCTACAAGTTGTCGATCTTACAACATTATAATACTTTCAAGTCCTTATTTTTGCATGTTGGATTTGATTCTCTAAGTAGTATGCATAATTATGGGTCTTAAAAGAAAAAATAACCATGTACCCAAATATTATGGTAGTGTACTTCAAAAGATTACCAAATATAGCTTTTAGGAGAAACACCCCATATACTTATTGTATAGGTTGTTTCTATAAACACTATAATGGTTATACTTACAAAATTTGTTGGTGCACTCATATGATGATAGCCCTTCTATAAAAATAGTGGCACGAATTGGTGTAGATTTGATACCTAGAACTGTGTACGCTTCATCATTGTGATATCTCTAATGTTCAAGTAAATTAGAGTATTACTTGTCACGAGATCCTAATATTCAACTGAGTTAGTATATGTGTGTTTGACTATGTTTGTGTATGTGGTTGTATGTTCGTATTATGGCAGGCTTAAAAAATATTTGAGGCAAAATGAGTCTCCGAGAAATAAACTGAAAATATCTCAGAACTTCTCAAATACGGCCAAATTCTTTCCTTCACAAATATGGTTAGTTTCTTACCTAAACATTTACTTTGAAAAAACA